AGAGAGAAGGATGACAGCCTGACCTTCCTAACAATGCACTATTAAAATGACATGCAACTGTCATGGTTTTGCCCCAGGTGAAACAATGTGAAGGAATCATGCAATGTGTAATATTGACATGCCCTTGCATTGTACAGGAAAAGGTGTGTTTGTTTGTGTGTGGGTATGTGCTAGTCTTTACTCCCTGTTGTGTACTTTTACCATCAATAAAATGATAATAACTTCTCTTGATTCTTCTTTGAGAGAAGAAAAAACATTATGGTACTTTAAAGAATATCACCATGAAATGCAGTGGGTGGAGGCATAGTTATTTATTTTTTCCCAACTGCGACCAATACAGTTTTGGGGGATGGGGCTCCGACTCAACATCAGACGTCTGCGGGGGACTTTGCCATAGGAGATTTGGATTCACTTTCAGGTTGGCCGAGCAGAAACCATAATGATTCTCTCTGTCTGCCCTTGAAATTATCTTCTCATCGCTTACTCAAATTGATAGATGCAGTCACTTTTTCTTTCTGGCTCACCTGTTCCATTTGCAGATTTGACTAATGCCAAAAGATTTACCGCTTCATGTGGGAGGTCAAACCAGGTGGTCCATCACTTCCCCGCACTCGCTCTGAAAAATACACAACATTTTAGAAGGAGGAATAGTCAGCTATTTCTGCTGTCCTCTCTCCCTAAGTCAGCAACTTCCCGAGAGCAAACCACAAATTCCCCACAGGAGATGTCAAAACAGATTAACTTCTCTCAAATCTACTCCCCAGATTAAATGATTGTAACAATCAAAGTGGCTTTGAGGCTTTGCATAATTTACTTTTTCTCACTCCTTGGAAATTCTGTCTTTGACTTTTTATTCCTCTGTTGGTCTGCAGCCTTGAAGTATTATTACCCTGTAAATCGATAAAGATGATGTATGAGGCGTCCACTGTTAGTGGTATAAACCCTTCTGTTTTCTGTGATATATGAGGATGTATCAAAATGAATGGAGTACCTATTTACTAACTTCCTTTATAGTGAAAACAGACACACACAGTACAACAAAGCCCGCTACTTAGTAATACCCTTAACGTTTGCTTTTATGAGATGTTGTCAGCAGGCATGACACTTTGATTGAACACTTCAATTTCCCTCTCAATGTTTCATCACATCAGTGGCCATCATAACATTAATAAAGCATATATTTTATATGACTGACACATGTTAAATTACACACCACCCAAATGAGGTTTGATGGCCAATTCAGACATTATCAGGGCAACACTGTGATGGATGCACAGAGCAGCTCATGCAACCTAAAGGTTATAAATATCCCCTGCATATGTTAGTCTAAAAATCACTATTCCACTGATCAAATCTGCATCTTGCTCAGCTTTTGTGTTTGTGCTCCTGTAATCTTAACTCAATGCCTGTCTACCCAGGCCAGGTGGTTGTGCGATCTATATCTCTCCTCACCATCGTTATTTTCCTTTTGAAGGCCCCTCTGCATTTGTGTATTCATCACTCTCATCTGGGGTTTGCCTCAGTGAGATAAATGCTTAGGAACGGATCATTAAACAGAGCTTTGGTCTGTTGAACTGAAATGGAAAAATAAGATTAGAGCTTTATGAGAATGTAAATAGCATATCATTGTTTACCTGGATATAATAGAGATTTGAGGTCCAGCTGTTGCTCAAATAGTGGCCATCACAAGTTATTATCAAGAGCTATTTCACAGGATAATATTAATTCAAAGATGCAGAGAAAATGTGTAGTAAGTGAATGCTTAAAGTGGTCTTATTATGTTTTTTTGGGTTTCCCTTTATTGTTCTTTCAAAGGTTAAAATCCCAAAGTTCCCTCCATAGGGAGTTTCTCTCTCACACACTCGATTCTACTCCTTTGTTTTCTTCTGTAAAATAGAGACATTACGTAACCCTCACTCTTCTATTGACTCTTCTTACTGTTCTCAAGGCCAGAATCAATGTCTCCTATAGCTATTTAAAAATGTAATTATCCTACAATTCAGCCATATTACAAATAAATTGGTGAAACTTTTAGGCCCAAACAAGTTCCCTTTCCAACATTGCAAGATGTACTGTAGTTACTCCATTGTCATTCTACTCATGAGTTGCGGCTGCCAATCAATATCTTATTATTAAGCCTCATCAACCTCACTCTCGATGCAACTATCCTGATGCCAGCGCCAATATATGCCAGGATGCCAATACTGGCTCAAGAGTTTTACACAAACAGCCGAGTTTCTCCTCCCCCCCCTCGACACTCATAAACTCATTACTGTTTTTTTATTGGATTCCACTCGTTTCTCAAATGAGACACTTATATTCCAGAGACCGGTATGAAAGTCAATACAGTTTGCAGTTTGTACACACAGACTGGTACCAGGGACTTTCCGTATGTTCGCGCTGAGAAAATGTTCAGTGTAGTAATATTACATTTGGGTTACAGTGGAGGTTTGGTGTCTAATCCTGTGTTCCACCACGGTCCCCACTGGCAGGGCTCAGGCTGTTCATGTGAAGGGCAGAGCCATGTTTCGAATCAGCAAGTGTCCCGATAGTCTTCTCATAGCTCTGGTAGTATCGTCCCTTTCCTCCGCCTTTTGCTTTGATGTGGGCCCTCCTTCTAAGGCCACCGGCGATGGGGGAATAGCCTTTCATATGGGAAATGCTGCTCAGTCTAATCCGCCAATATGTTTTACTATGACAAATCCCCTCAACGTATTGATGTTGATTCAGAAGAAGAAAAAAGTTGAGGGCAGCAGTTTGTCTCCCCTATGGTTATTTTCAGTTTTTCGGGGGGGCGGTCAAGAAGAGACTGTGAAAAATATTGGAAGAGGAAAGGAGGAAGGTGAATTTTCCTCGGGAAGTTAATGAAAGTCCTTGAAGTGTGGCAAGGGAAGCTGTCACCTGCCCTGGTGATAGATAGCAGGCTTACTATTATTAGCATTCCCAGCCCCAGCCTTGAGTTTTATGCCTTACTAGAGCCATTTGTTGATTAATTAATCAGGTAATGTATGCTATCTGTGCTACAAAAGCACCCACATATCTCTCTTGGCCTCTCCTGGGCACTCTGTGCAACCACAGAGCAGGATCCCCTACCAGGCCACAGCACATGCAAGAACATTACAATTCCAAATCAGCCACTGCAAAGAGAAAGCATATACACAAAGGTCCTAGGCTGCTTTTAATGTAAAGGGAAACACTCTCCCATTTCATGAATATATTCACTTCCTCCGGCCGAAAGTCAGCCTTGTCTGATGTAATTATTTGTAACTTTCAGGGAAAGTTTTTAAACTGTCAAATAAAGCTCCACTATGAGGAAGGTAAAAAATAAACTAGGATTGATGCAGGGCTTAATGATTTCTCCTGTTTCTCTGTGTACAATTGAAAAGGGCCGCACAGAAATCCCACGTGGAACATCATAATCAATGTCTGTGTGTACGATACAACAACATCCAGTCACGTTATGAAATACAAACAATCAATACAATTCCAGTCCTTTACTGTGATTATATTTATTGACTTTCTTATTTCGTCCCCTCATGCACATATACTTTCATATATTGCCTTGTCTTAACAATCATTGAATTGGTGCCAACCTGACAAACTGTTACCTAAAGAAATGCTGGATTTGTTTGCTTATCATACTACTTGTAAACATGGTGTTCCAATGGTTATTCCCCATATACACCGTGCACATACATATTGAGAACCAGAGTAACACTGTATATACTGTGTATATACATATTGGCTTCCATCTCCCTGTGCAACATGGCCATCATGTGCCTAAATATCTGTCTGTATTACTTCCTTCTTCTGTATCCTGACACATCGCTCTTCCTGCACAGCTGGCAACATTTGTGGAGCGGCAGGAAATGACATCATACTTTTATGATGTTGCCTTTCCTGTTCTGTCTCATCAGAGAGTTTACCCTTTATTTCTAGAGTGTGGGTGTGTGTGTGTGTGTGTGGTGTGTGTGTGTGTTGGTGTGTGTGTGTGTGTGTGTGTGTGTGTGTGTGTGTGTGTGTGTGTGTGTGTGTGTGTGTGTGTGTGTGTGTGTGTGTGTGTGTTGTGTGTGTGTGTGTGTGTGTGTGTGTGTGTGTGTTGTGTGTGTGTGTGTGTGTGTGTGTGTGTGTGTGTGTGTTGTGTGTGTGTGTGTGTGTGTGTGTGTGTGTGTGTGTGTGTGTGTGTGTGTGTGTGTGTGTGTGTGTGTGTGTGTGTCTGCACATGTACTGTACTCCCTGTCAACTGCATGCCTCCTATTCCTCATCATTTTCTCACACCCCTGTCAGCCCGTCATTTATTCGCCTTGCACCAGGCTATGTGGACCCGAGGAATTTACGATCATTGGCTTGGCTTATTCTCACCTCGTTGTAAAGCTGTAACGGATTTACTGCCACTGGTTTGTCACTCCCGTCATTAAAATGTAAAAGTTTGCGACACTGCATAGAAAGTTACAAATGATGCCGGCGAGCTCGGCTGTTTCCTCCACTTACATACTGCCTGGTTGGAGGTAGTTTGTTCCCTCCTCGAAAACTAAATCATGAGCTGTCACTGCTCCGATCATTCTAAGTAAACTCCACAGCTCAGGGAGGAATGTGGAGCTGATCCTCTTTTAAAAAGAACTGGATTTTCTGCCATTTTCTACATTTCAGACACACTGAATCTTTCTGCTGTCCTGCATGTGCATCGGCAGGGAGGGAATTCTGTTATCTTTTGATATGGCTTGATGCATTTTGATTGCATTTATATGAAAAAGGCCATGTTTTTTCTTTCAATAACGAATGGGAGCCTGGGGAGACTCCTCCTGTGCTGTCTTCTCACTGTAAACCCCACCTGAAGATTTTGACAGTTTGACACTTTAATTTCCTACCGAGTATTTCACCTGAATTTCCCCGGACAAAGAAGAGACATGCTGCTGTGGAAAGAAAAATATCCATATTAGGTTGGAAATTATTAAAGTCTGGGCCTCAATTAAATCTTCTCTGACTTCTCTTTAACTCAGGTTTGGAAAACAGCGACCAGGAGACAAGATGGAGAGGAAGGGCTCCAGTAAATCTAAAGCTGAGGACATGCAGGCGTCAGAGGACGAGACCCAGCGGATGAGGCTGGAACAAGAGAGGTGAGTCTTGGCTCGCTTAAAGCTCAAACAATTAGGACCCAGCTGAACGAAGAAAAAACCCACTGCTGACCAGAAAATGAGCAAACTAACTAATTAGCAAAATGGCAGAGCAAGGTTGGGAAGTTCTGGGAAAGTACTCGGATGTCAATTTGTCAAATGTCCCTTTCTTTTATATCAGTACATTAAATAGATCATTTATGGATTGTTGTTGGCCGTGCCATTCAGAGGCGCTGACCTCTTAATGGTGCTCGTAGGCCCCTGTGGATTTGGCATGATTGAATGGTGCTCATTATAATAGTGAAATCGATATAGCTCTGCATTTGTCTTCTCCTGCAGCTCGACCAGGTTGTTAATCGCTCTGGAATACGCCTTCCTTCTAATCCGCCCCTCTTGGCTCTGTGTCCTCTGGTGTTCGTGGACATCATGACGTCCAGAAGAATAAGGCGAGGCATTGGTTTTGCCGCGTGCACCTCATCCCTCAAAGACAAGCCCCATTTAATTCTCTCCAGCAGCGAAGACAATATTGGTGGCAGGGTGAATGAAAAGACAGCTTGCTGCCTCCATTGTTCTCAAGCAGCCAAATGAACTCAGTAATCAAACTGCCATTGGTAATGACAGCTAATTGAATAGAAACAATAGAGCTTGATACCGCTCCCTCTTACGACGAAGGGAGGATGGATGAGAGAAGGATGGATGGCTGTCTCAAATGCACACAAACACAAACAAGTGCACACGCAACAAAAAGGCTCACAAAGGCCCTCTCCCTTGCTGAATGGAACATCTGGAGGCCTTGCTCAAAAAGCTGTAGCACATTTCTTTTTGGTATTCAACTATGACTTTCCATGATGGTCCTCTGTGCTGAGGGTGCGAGCGCTTCTGGCTGAGGGCCCAACACATTTCCCTCAGTGCACCCTGGAGACCGGTGGGCCTGGCTCTCCATCCAGATCTGTCCCCTTTGAGGAGCTCCCAAACGCCTGTCAAGCTGAGCAGCAGAATCAACACAGACACACAGCGGGCATGAGATATGTAGAGTACATGCCTCTCCCCCCAACACACACACACACTATTTAAATCCAACTTATTTTCTCTCACTGCTGTCACCCAATTTCTTTGTCTGCTACTTGGTCTTGCAGCACGTTCTCATTCCCTGTCTTGTTTGTGTCCGTTCTGCATGTGTGAGCTCCGGTCCTGGCTCCTGGTGCAGGAGGGCAACCTAATTCTTTATTTTTGTACCTGTTCCCAAATCCCATCACTCAGCCAGGCCAGGATTGTCCCTCGGTTAATGGAAAGGGTGTCCTGAGGGAAATCGTGGTGGGTAATAATAAACCAACCTGCCATGAAGACAAGTCGATATTCAAAGCATTAGGGTTCAGCAGGACGACAGCTCAGAAATCCATTACTTCTTGTATTTTTTGGGTATCACTACTGTTTTGCACTCCCAAGGTGCTACGTTTGATTGTCTTAGTTCTCTGCTCAAGGCACATGCTCTGATTGATTTCCATGCTGACACTGAGACAGGACCATTTCAGATTGCCTCTATGAAATTATGGATCGGACCGTAACGGGTTTCCGACGCTGGCAATCGTCAGCACGGCCCGGGATGGGACCCAGCCAAACCCCCCCGCGCGGCTGACATTAGCGATCATTAATTCAAGCAGACGGTTTTGACAGGGGCTTTTAGTGATTCAAAATAGGAGTCAGCGCAGAGGTGAGACAGATTAATTCATAAAACCTGCCCTTTTTAGCCTGCAATAAGGCCGCTACGGTTATATATTTAAAACTCTGACCTTGATATGATTCATGCAATTTATGGTTTGGCTTGCGGTCCTTGCAGACACAACCTCCTTTATTTTGATTAAAAATGTTATCCTCCATTGATATCTTGTCAGCCTGTTATGGATTGAAGATGATGGAGAAGAGTACATTAAGTTTGACTTCATTGCCAGAGCACAGTGCAGTGCACCCACTTGATGAAGAGCGGTTATCAGCAGCATTTGTTTTGCCAATGTTTGGAAGGTTTTACAGAGCTCCTGTGATTGACTGTTTCATGTTCTTCATCAAGGCGACATTAGAACCTGTGGTTACTAGACTGATCGAAATCTTTGTTCAGCACAGCGGTGGCAGCCATTACGCTGGTCTCTATGCCCGTGGACAGCACCCAAGCCACCCCTATCTGATTGGCTCATGTTGTGAGGACTGTGGAGACAACAAGCTCTGTGATTGGACCTTGGGTGGCTTGGAAAGCAGCCGTTTCCGTGGCTATGGCCTTTATTCATGCAAGCCATGGGGGAGAAGAGAGAAAGAAAGAAACACAGGGCAGGTGGTGTTGGTGGAGCTTGTATCAGTCTCTGACTTATCTCTGCACGTTAGCCCTGAAACTATATTTTCCCAGCCAAAGAGGGATGCACACAAAGACAACCTGACAATGTTCCTTCTTCATTTTCCGCCTGAACTGAACTCCATTTACTCTGTCTTTCTCTGCGGCAGCTGATTATGATGTCCATTCTCTCTTATCAGCTTGGCTCCGGTTGGCTTCTAATCAGCGGCCAGCCCTCCACTGCTACTCTCCTTGTACCCACTCCCAGACCACAGCAAATCACTGGTTTTTTTTTTATCCTCGACAGTGGCCTGCTTCCTCTTGTTTGTTGTTTGATGTCCTGCTGACTCTGGACAAACAACACTTGACCAGCGATTCTCGAGTGCGTCCGTCAGCACAATTCATATTGACGAACAGAAAACTTGGATTAGTCTTGATAGATAAGATCTTCGATTCAGATGATGAGAAGTTTGTCTCTTACATCATGTTCGGGTTACATTCACTATTACAGTATATAAAATAAAGCAATTTCCTCTAAGGCAGATCCTTCTTTTTCAGTATTTTTGTCAGTAATTGTGGTACAATCTTTATCATTTCACTTTGTAAAACCATCTCATTATTTCAGTATCCTATTTGAGTTTCATTTGCATATTGAGTTCAAAGAAGGCTCCAATTAACTGATTGGGAAGTGTGATTATGCTTGTAATTATATTGATACCTACAGCAAGTTAATGCGATTGTTAACACTGTGAATTAACACCACGGAACTTGGACAATTATCTATGTGATTACATTATGCTGTTATGGGCCAAGTGTCAACACAAAAGATGGCCTATCGGTGGTTTGCGATTCTGCACAGACAGCTGCACGCAGGCTCATTTAATGCATTTTGATTAGATTCATACACATTCTGTCCTCCATCTGCACTCCAGAACAATAGAACATGTTTTGGTGAGGGGGTATTAGAAGGAAAAAATCCATTCAAGGCGGCTCAATGAGAATGTAAGAGAGCAATTGCATTCTGTTTCATCTACCAAGGTAACAATGCATATTGAAGAGGCAGGTTTTCAAGCTTCTAAGTGTTGACTTCAAAATGTGTGTCTGAAAGTACAGACAGCCCCCGTACCCCCTTCATCTTTGTCTCCCCTCGCCTCCCTTGGGTAGATTACACGTTGACAAACATATGGAGAAGGAGTCTGTTGGATTTGTTGGGGGAAAAAAACAGCTTTGATGGATAAACAGAGAGATTTATTCAGTTTGGAGAACTTGAGGTGAGCTTACATGTTGCTATCGTTTCACAACTCTTCTTCTGAAATGAAGCTGCAACAGTTTCATTGCAAATTCCATTTCAGTTGATGTGAAGGAATTCTTACTCAATGTAGTGACAATGAAAGGCTAGTAAAACATACAGGGAGAACAACAGTTTAAAGGGGGATAGGTTGAATAAAGGGTGATGCTGGGTGTACATACTTGTACTAAGACATGGTCAGTCAGTGCATGAGGGATTGAACTTTAACTGCCCTGAAAAGCTCTGATTTAGTCTGTCTAGACTCTATTTTAGCCAGGAGGAAATGCCTTTCCACTTTACTGTTTTGAAGAACAACCAAGTAGGCATTTTATTATATTTAAAAGAAAATTCAGCATTTAAAAAAAAAGAAAGAATGTGTAGACATTAAATAGAGACAAAAGAAACTGAGGAATTAGTAATGTAATACTGGTTATCTTCCATTCTGTCATCAGTAATTAAAATGAAAAGGGAAATCCAAAGTTGGGCTGCAATGAAGCACTACAGATAATGGTCCCCTTTTTGAAATAAAATATCCCCGGGCTGGTTGCATTAAAAGCTGCAGTGTCCTCTCCTCTCAAACATACTATCTGGTAAGAGGAGAAGACAGGAGTAGGGCTGGTAATTGGGGCTGTTCAGTAATAATGTGTTTAGTGTGGGCAGCACTTTCCTCTATGTTAACATGCTGGGCCATTAATTGGCTAATGGAGTATATATGGTAGAGCGTGGGGGTGGTGTCTCAGGAGAAAGTGGGGAGAGGAGAGGAGTTGAAAGCAGTAGTTGCAGGTTCCCCAAGAATAAAACAGTTAGCAGGTGAGGATGTTTGCTTTAGGGCTTATCAGCATATTACAAAGCAGAACGACCCCTGTTTCCTAGACAATATTTATATCATTTGCTTGATGTTTTTCTGAAGCTTTGCATATATTAATACAGCTGCTTCAAATGTTTTCAGGCAGTTGAATGGGGATTTTCAGAGGATATCAGCCTCATAAATATAGCTTAGGAAGGGCCTGCTACATCTACTTAGGTGTAGAAAGCCATTATCAACTAATAAAATGGTGGATCACCGCCACAAGAGGATGCCAACCTACAATGGTCGTTTTATTTGATTAGAGCAAATGTGGATGTGTGTCCCGTTTCAATACAGAACTCGACACGTTACCTTATTTTGATTCACGTAACATGCTTTACTTACTTACATAACATTTGTTCACTAACACACTTATTTGAACCCAAACCATATTTTCCTTAACCTTCCCAAGTTATTCCCCGAGGCCTCAAACACAGATGCATAGGTCTATTGTAGTTTTTGAGTTGAAATATTGGATTGGACGATTTGAACCAGAAGCTTAATTATGAATAAATAAGTAAAACGCTAAAACACAAAATGGAGCCAACAGTAATAACGTTAATGGCTAAAGCATGACTCACATAGTATCTCATTTGGTATTTGTGATTGTTAATATCCTTTTATTGAAATGCACTTATTAGCTTTATCAATGTCAGACTCCCGAGGCCTCAAAGAGAAGTCACTCTGATAGCTTGTCGCCAGTCTAGCCAAGGCCATTATCTCTCCGAAATGTCAATATTGCCGTTTTTATTAATCTGATTAGTCCATAAAACGCCTCAGGGTTCTGAGATCCCAGCGGACTTCCGTGAACCTGTGGTAACATCATTGTCTGGTCCTTCCTGGCACACATCTGACATCACTTTAGCCAGATGGCAGGTGAAAGGGCTTCTGGGAATTAGTGTTTTGCTCCCCGTGAGGCTTGTTTTTTGTTTCCGACAACTCAAGCTAAAGTGAGAGCACAGCGAGCGAACACAACCGTGCTGTGAGTTGATCATTTCCATAATGTACCTGGTCTGCGACAATTCAAAAATACACCAAACCAGCTTAGAGACTTCATAATATGACTGCATATCATGCAACATTGCATCAGGCCTCCATCAAAATCTCACTCTGCAGATAATGCTGAGAAAATGGGATTTTGGACGGCTAAAAATAAACAAGGCAGTCTATGGGTAGGATGTGGGAATTGGGTTAATTCGGCATTGAAAAAGGATGATTGTTTAAAATGTGATTACTTTTATTAAAATACACAGACATGGGAGAGAGTGTTAGGCTATGGGGGATTCTAGGTCTGTTCCAAACCTGTCAATCTTCTGTGAGCAGCAGCGGTGGGGGGGGGTCAAAGGTCAGTTATGACCTGAGGTAATAGGGAAGTCTAGCACCAGTGGGAGGTAGCGTGCTTGTATGGTTGTGTGTGAATGTGTATGTTACCCTACAGCAGGGATACAACATCTGGAACCACTGAGCAGACTGGTGGCTGCGGCCAGGGTCACCGCAGTGGGAGGTCAATTTCCCCCTCTGCCTGTCCTCAGCCCCTCTCCTCTTTTACTCCCCACTGTCCACCTCCTCCCTCCTCCAACGCCAGCACTCCTCGCTCTCATGCAGCTCCATGACTGAGTCTTGTTAGCTGTGGACAGATGGGCATTCACATGGAACCATTCTTTAAGACAGGAAAGGCCCTGTGAAAGGCCCTGTTGTGTGGAAGTGGTCCCGGTGAGAGGAACGGCACGGAGAGAGAGGAAGGGGCTGGAAGGAGGAAGAAGAGGTCTGAATGTCTCTCTCCTACCTCCTCTTGTTAAAAGACCTGAGGGGTAAAATGTGTGGCTTTTCTGGCTCATGGAAAGCCACACATTTAAATAATACTCCTAAGCTTCTTTCGCTACAGAGGAAGACATTCTTTTCAGTCCTCATTCTCTGTTTCTCAGGACAAAAAATATGATACTTTAGAAGTTTGAAGAGAAGACGTCTGGAAGTCTCTCTGAGTTGCCTCCTTCCTGTTCATTTATTATGCACTTGCAACTCAATATCTCATATACAATAAAGTGTCACTTGTTTCTACATGTAGGTCAATTAAGTCCTCATTAGAAAAACATTTGACATTTGTAAGAAAGCATCTTTGTCTGAGTTCCCATTCAAAACTTATGAAACATTTAAAAATTATCAAAAAACATCATATATACAAGCTGGACCAAATCGTATATAACTTTCCTGAGTATAAAAATAAACAAACTCAAAATTCAGGAATTTGAAACGGTTCTTTTGCACTAGCATGAGTTGGCCAAATACATAGTTTGGCAAAGAAAATGAATTGGCAATATTTTACACACATTTCAAACCATCTAAAAACTCAATTAACTGCTTAAGAATAAAAACTCGCAATTTGAGGGTGTGAAATCTTTCTTTTAAGTGAGGAAATGATATTGAATGTTGGCATTTCTAGCATTTGTGAGATGATTCATAAATAAAAAATTATTTATAACAAACATTTCCTCTTCATTTTCTTTTCACAGAATACAGGCCAAAAAGCTGGAGCTTCGTGAAAGGCAGGAGAAGGAGAGGGAATATGCTGAGATCCAAGATGTTGTTGGCGGTACCTTCAGCTCAGATGAGGAGCCCACCTACGCTGGCATCGGATCTTTAGACTCGTCGATGGATAGCAGCAGCATGGACCCTTACAGCCACCACTACCATCTCCCACAGAGTCCCCTGAGTCCTCCCCTTCCCATCAGCCATCAGGAAAATGGGCCACCCTTGGAGGCTCTGTATGCCCAGGTCAACAAGCCGCGCAATGGACGCCCTGCAGCTCCAGACAGGTAGGGAGCGCCCAAAGAAAATGTCCATACACTTACAGAATCAACAGTGTCACTCACTACCGTTCTCGTTCATTCACACGTCACTAACTACTTTTGTGCTTTGGAAGAAGTTCATTTACACCTCATCCATAATTTATAAGCAGCGGTGTGATTGTATTTGCTCACTTTTACTTGTCATGGGTGACACACGCCGCACAGAAAAACAATGAATTTCACACAAGGTATTATCGCTGCCTCGTCCCACAGGGGTTTGTCCCGTGCAACTGGCAGGATCCAAAGGCAAGGTAAAACAACAGAAGGAGCCTATCAGTCGTTTTCCATGTGCTAGAATTTAATATCTTTTTTTTTTCATTATCCTCGGATCACAAGTAATCCTCCCCGGTCCCTCACACACCTTTTTCAAAGAGTCACGCTGCATGGGACTTAAGCTTGTTTGCCACTGGGGGGTTGTATCGTTCATAACCTCCGTGTCAACACGAATATTTGATGTGATGACAGCGCCATGCAGAGCTTTAGTTTCATATTATTGTTTTCATAGCCTATTGCTGAAAGACATGTGTAAAGTTATCTCATATGTTTTTATTTATGTATTTAAGTCCAAACTAAAGTCCACAAAATCAATGTCAATCCAACGTTGGGATAAACAGCAAATGGATGAATAGCCATTGATATCTTCTACAAAACGTTTATTAACACAGAATTTTAATTAATTATTTAATTCAATCCCTTCAATCTCACATTCCTCTTAAATCTTCCTCTATCTTAAGATAAGATAAGATAGAACTTTATTGATCCCAATTTGGGACATGTTTGTGTTGCAGCAGCATAAAAAGACATGGCATTGTACAATAAAAATTAAAAGACAAAAAATAAACCAGAAAGTAGAAAATATACATGTTGAATTTACAAAAGAACAATAACAAGATAAGCATGAGTATTTAGAAAATCCAAGCTTTATCATACACATATTAGACTAAGAGTTGTCATGAGGGCCATAGGTTTCCTGTAGGTCACATCCAGTGGTGACAAGTCATGAGATTTCTATTCCCATGGTCCTCCAGAACCTTTCAGGGTGTTATTAATGGATCGGATAATACCCACCTCCTGTGATTGACAGCTGTCACCTGGGGGCTTGTGACCTTTCACTGCTGGGCTCAGGTGGGGCGGGGTTGCATATGTTACCAAGACAGTGCTTCTCTATGTGAGTCAGTGTGTCTGTTTTTTTAAGAGGATTTAGAGTCTCCATCCTGTAACACCCCCCCCCCCGTGACAATCGGAGTAGATATGACAAGGTTATCTGGCCCCTCTGATAGCCGGCTCAATCCATGTGCCAATACATCCGGGGCTTAGTGAAGGCCACTGATCCATATGTCCAAAGTGAAGGTAACCTCCACATGTTTCCTGTGGATAGCCTTGTTGTGTCATAACAGCAATCTACTGTAAACCATCCCACTTCCCAAACCAGAGCTCAATAAGAAGCCTGAAAGCTAGTTGAAAAAAGAAGGCAAGACAATGAGGTTGACTTGTGGAAAATGAGCCTGTGTATTCAGATCACAGGACTTTAAGATGTTGGTCAGTGATAGACATGATGCTATTGATTCTCAATAAGCTCTTTGCAGGGAAACTGTATAAAATCCTTTACATAAGACAATCCTTTGAGTGCTTAGTCTGTTTTTTATCCTTTGTTGCCGGAGGGAATATTAATAGCAATCTTCTTAATCGCTCCCATGGAGAAATTAAAAGACAAAAATGTTAGGCAAGGAACCTTTTGCACAAGGGGTCTGATAGTAAACAGAGGCTTATCACTGGAATAGGATTTTTTACATATTTTTGGATTCTAAGGTTTATTTAGATGTTTTTATGTCCACTTACAATATGGCAGCTGTTCTATATATCTGTTCTGTTTGAATCTTAAAATAGTTGTTATCTTTGAGATTGAAAAACAAATACCGCATAGTGGTCATTAGGTAGTCTCTAAAACAATCGGGTTCACATAGCAAATAACTCCTTATCTTTTCTGCTCACTTGTTTCAGCAGTTTCTTAGAAATAAAGAATACTCACCGTCGCAGGTTTATTTCTGCATAAAAAGCTTAGTGTTGCATGTTCATTATAAACACAAGCTTATATTTAGTGGAGAACTGAGCTTTAAGAATTGATAGTGCAGTATGGAGTTTTATTTGCAGGCACAGGATTAGCTTTTTGCGAGTGTTGTGATTTGATTTGAAATATAAGCCGATGTTCACCACTGCATTTTTGTTTTGCACCTCTCACTGCTTTGCATATCTTGTGTATGCCAGCCCGGCTGTATGCCTGTAATATTTGTCTTGCTGTCTTTGAGATATAATAATAATATGCACTGGTTCTTATTTAGCTCAGAGGCTTTCTATTTACCATTTGCGAAAAGGAGCTTGAAACACATTCACATTCAAGATTCCTGTCACTTGCCTACCATAACAAACATAAACAGTCATTTGCATTTCTAAATTAAACTTAATGGAACTTTCATTGTCAAATACAGCGCCAACAAAAGAGAATTTGCATTCATTTCTGATTGTACCATGTAGCCTATTAAGACAGCAAAATTGGATAGAGAACTTTTTGTTTTGCCATTTAGAGATCCAGTGTGACTTACAATTTCTTTACTTTCTAATCCTGCCACTGCTATGCAACCTAATATTTCGAGCTGCATGACTTCCTGTTTGAAGATCAGGAAAAAGGAAGTCAGTGAGGTTTGCGTAAGGAAGGCTTCTCATTCCTGGCTGTCAGTCAGTCTTCAGTATGAAAGAGCAGAATGAGTTGCGTTGAACCCTGACCTGGATACTGTTACCAGCATCTGAGGTGGGCCCCGGAGAAACACACTGTGATCAAAGGGGCAGATTAAGGATCCCGTCTTAAAGGGATATTTCACGTTTTATTTCCTAGTAAAACATCTGACAGCCAGCCAGCAACTTGTTACAAATCTAAAATCTAACTGCACTATATTCATTTATAAAGTCACACTCCCTAATGCCTAAAACCTGATTTATGACTAGGCACAAGAGTTCTTAAGGGGGTTTAAGAATAGATTCCAGATAGCATACCATACAGGAAATATACATTTGTTGATTTCTTTGTTGTTGTTGTTGTTGTTGTACAAAACATGAGAACCAGGTAAACCCATTACGCTGTCACTGGTAGTCACCACATCTCCCACAGCATAGATAATAATAGTATATGAGGATATTACCATGGCGTGACGCATCTCCTGATAATCATATGACCTCTATAAGCATCGCTCAACTGCACACATCATCTTACCTTGTAACATTGGTTCCAGGGACCAACTAAGTGAAAGAAAATTGAATTGAAATTAGCTGAGAGCCTTCCTAAAAATACACAGAATGCTGTGAGTGTTGGAGGGTGACTACACTCACACTTACTGTATCAGTTTCTTACATCTAAAAGCCACCTAGTCAAACATGTGCTTAGTTGGAACAACATCAGACAATGCTGCCGTACCCTGGAGTCTAAGTTCTCATCATTTTGTTTACTGGACATCCCTGTGTGCTGTCATTACACCACAACAGTTCAGTCATAGAGAAGAAGGTTTTTTTAGATCGAGTCAACTAATTAGAGACACTTAGGGGCCATTTGGTTGATGTGGGCTGGTGCTCCTTTTAAGGGGAGGTGGGGTCTAAATGCTTGCAATTGCCAGTTGCTGTATAGCTTTTGCATCTTAGACTCTTGTTATGCTTCATCTATTTATACACATGTGCATTCATTTTGTGCCATAATAAATGCATTCACCTTTGGCTCGCCAATGCTTTCAAAGCTGCACTGTTGTTTATCCACTACAGTTAATATGAAGGGGCCGCAGCTGGATAAATAGCCCGGGTATACGCCTCTCTCTCTGATAGACCTTCGGTAATGGAGCCCTAATGGGAAGGTCACTGTGACTGTAAAGCTGGAATGAGTCAGACCTGAGCCTATAAACCCTTGGAGATACAAGGACCCCTGGTTGCTGTGGGCGTCGAGATCCTGGCCATTTAGCCATATCGGGTTTTACTGTTCCTCTACAGGATCATGGAACAACAAGAGCTCATTTGACAATTTATTACCAACCTCAACATTATTAGAGCTGGCAGCACCAGTGGTGTTTTGACAATGCTGTCAGACTCTGTAAAACTGAAGGGCACCAATAGAAATGCAGGATTTATTCTTGTCCAGTTTTGTTAAAACCTCATATAAAGTCAAAGTAAATATCATTTTCACTCTAAAACCTGTCGCATGAATTGGGCTCTATGACGTTAACATGAAAGCGATTCAGACGTTAACCCCTGAATAGTGTGTTATTTGTCCACTGTTTTAAAAATAAAAAGTTAGACCCAGCATGATAGAATGACCTCATTTCTCAACATCCAACCGACAAGTCAACCGCTCCATCTGCCAGGGGACCGCGGGGTTTGGGTGACTGGCATTGGATCGCGCGCTTCAGAACGACAAGCTGACAGGTGCCAAGCTCGATGGGATTTGTGGGAAGCGAGCGTGAAACAAAGCATCACCTTTGAAAACTCAATATGATTGACTGCTGCTCCCATTACCCAGACGAGTTTCTAAAGCTCCTTAGAGCATGGGCGAGGAAGAGTCAGAGAGACATAGAGAGGAAGAGGCAGGGGGAAGCAGGGGGAAAAATATATGGAGCTCAGCAGTGCAAAGCCCTTGAAGTCCTCTGTAACTTGGGCGCTCCAGAGAGGCTGGCAGGCAAGGCAACAGAGAGGGAAAAAGAGTCCAAAGAGCCCTTACCTAAAGAAACACTCACTGTGGTGTTTTTCTGTTGCTCTCGCCACACTAAAATTCAGTCAGAACCTCCACTCTGCATGGTCTCCAAATTGGATTATGTGGTAGCTAATGCATTTTTCTCAGCTGATAAAAAGGTCAGGCTTTTCATCTCTGGAGAAAGTTTGTAAGGATCGCTCTCACCACTTCGACATTCTAAGGCTCGAAGGACATTTACCCGGGA